ATTTTGTCTTCCTTTCAGTTTTACGTTTTTCCTTCTTATTGTTGAAGGTGTGCAGATTCAGGTTCTTCGTCTATTCCTGGAGAACTCACTTGTCCGAGGAGGAGGCTCGTTGTGCCCAGCCAAGGCGATGCACGTGTAAGCATGCCGTCACGCCTGCGACGAGCCTGGCGCAAGCAACAGGTGCCGTTACATAAATGCATCTCCAGTTTCAAATTCGTATTTAGCGAAACTCATGCCCAACTTCGAGATTCATTCCCAGAGATTGGACAACTAAATTTTTAGCATTTTTAAGTAATTTCCTTTGAATTTCGGATTCAAAGAGTGACACTCCAAGACGGTGAACACCTTTGGCTTGTAATTTCGAATTATCACTGACTTTAGATTAATTGTAAGCTTGCATTTTAATTTTGTCTATCGATGTGATTTATACGATGGTTGGGGTTACTTCCGATTTGATGAGCTAATTTCAATTGATAGAGATGAGGGATAATTGTTCTAGTTTTTCTAACTTTTGTACCTTTAAATCGTTCAACTTGTACGAGTTGCTTGATTCTTAAGGTTAGTCGATTGATCATAGTCTAATCAAGTTAAATAACTTTTAAAACCGGAAGGGGAGAAGTTATTCTACATAACTGATTCGTAATTATATTGCGTATGTATTAACTAGTGTTCTAAAAGTCCCTAGGCACCTCCAAGCAACGTCTAGCTCCTAAGAATGGGTCCGTAATTATATTGCGTATGTGTTAACTAGTGTTCTAAAAGTCCCTAGGCACCTCCAAGCAACGTCTAGCTCCTAAGAATGGGTCATAGGCGATGCCTAGAAATTAAGATTAAATATCCTTTTTTTTTTTCTAAATTTATTTTCAATATAAAACTATTCCAACTTATAATAAATACACACATCTAAGTTCAAATAACAATATTAATATATTATAAAAAGAACATGATAATAAAATAATGTATTTAGTAGTTAAAGAAAAGAAGGTGCAAAATTGCCACCAAGCCTGCTTAGGAATGCGTAGGCCCCCCAAGGCCTAGGCACCGCCTAACTACCGGACCGACTTTTTTCAGCCGATTCGTGCAAATCAGAAGCGACCCAGCGGCGCCTATCGTCTAGAATACACGTACAACTTAATCCAGCTAGCCTTCCTTGAGATGCGACACAGGGAATGACTCTTTTGAATTAACTCAAAGATGTCAGCTTCTTTTGCTCAAAAGCATCCTTCTCCATAAACTCCACCTCTTGTCGTGCCTCGGTCTCTTGGCAGCTGCTCTCGTAACTTCCTACGCCTTATTGATTGCGAGGATCCTCTGCTTATAGTCACGGGGGAAGACCTTAACAAACTTCGGCAGAAGCGCATTGAAATCGGCAAGCACGTCTTTGGCGAGCCGGCTGCCCGTGTGGCGCCGGTGCTGCTGTATCATCAATCTGAGCGTCAACACGTCATCCTCCTCCTCGACCGAGTTGAGATCCACCATCTCCACATTGCACCTTGACCGGAAAGTCGAGTCACCATCGAGGACATACGCTATGCCCCCGCTCATGCCCACGGCGAAATTCTTTCCCGTCCGGCCCAAGACTACAACAGTCCCACCTGTCATGTAAGCACAACCATAGTCCCCCACGCCTTCGACCACCGCCCGAGCTCCCGAGTTCCCAACGGCAAACCTCTCACCCGCCATTCCGTTGAAATAAGCCTCCCCGCTCGTGGCCCCATGGAGCGCCACATTGCCTATTACGATTTTGCCCTTGGGGGGGTCAAACCCGTTCCCCTTAAGCGGGTACACGACAATCTTCCCACCCGACAACCCTTTGCCGACATAATCATTACTCTCGCCCTCAAGCTCGAGGGTGATGCCGGGGCATAGAAATGAGCCAAAGCTCGGGCCCGCGCTACCATTGAGCTTCACGTAGATCGTATTATCGGGCAGCCCGTGAAGAATGTACCTTTTGGTCAACTCGTGGGTCAGCATTGTCCCGACTGCCCGATTATCGTTGCAGATTGGGGACTCGATGTACACTGGAATACTCTTCTCTAAGGCAGGCTTTGCTAGAACTATTAGTTTCTTGTCGAGAGCATTTTCCAGCGATTGGCACTCATTTAAAATTACCTCATCGGGTGTAACGCCACAATCGAGCATCTGTTTGTATAGTTCCGAGGCTTTTCCCGCAAAACCGTGATTGGCAAAACCTGAGATGATCGACGTCCAAGAAATTACGTCTTGACTCCCCATCTCCTTGAAAATTTGATATCCAGCCTTGACGTTGCCGCACCTAGTGTACATAGAGACCAAGGCATTGGAAATGCATATATCGGAGTCCATGCCCGATTTTATCAAACGGGCGTGTATTTGCTCGCCTTTACCGATGGCCCCGATACTCGCGACCCCACTCAGGAGGCTCGTAAACGTGAAAGCATCAGCCCCGACATCAGAATTACTCTCGAATTGATTAAAAAGTTCAAAAGCCTTACCAAAATCCAAATTTCTAGCATAACCACAGATCATTGTGTTATATGAGACCAAATCCTTCTCGAACAATAATTCAAATGCTCTTCGCGCGTCTTCCATTCTATCGCATTTAGTGTACATGCTGATAAGAGAGTTAACAACAGAATTTACGGGAGAAAGACCCAATTTCACTGCATGGCCGTAAATTTGTTCACCGAGTTTCAGATTAGAAAGATTCCTGCACGCTTTCAACAGGCTACTGAAAGTATAATGATCCGGCTTGACTTCACCATCGGTTATCATCCTACAGTACAGCTCAAGAGCTTCATAGTCATGGCCTCCACTCTGAACATAACCCGTGATGATTACATTCCACGACATGAGGCTGTGGTCCTGCATTCGGTCGAAAGTTTCCCTTGACTCGTCCATAGACCCATTTATGGCACATTTGGAGTACATTTCCACTAAACCACGGCCCAAACAGGCATCCCATAAAAAACCGTTCTTGATGACCCAAGTGTGCAGCTGACGCCCAACGGCTACCAGCCCTAGCTCCGAACAAGCCGATAAGCAACTGCTCAAAGTGAAACGGTCGGGCAAGAAACCCGCATAAATCATATCAAGAAACAAGAGGATCGAGTCTCTAGGAAAACCCATCTGCTTAAACCTCGTGATCATCAGAGTCCAAGAAATGGGATTTCTCTCCGGCATTTTATCAAACACCTTCCGTGCAGAATCTAAATCACCAAAACCCTTTGCGAACAAATCAATCAATGCGCTCCCCATGCGCACATCGGCTCCAAAATGCCCCGTCTTCATCACAAGCCCAAAAATCACGAGCCCGACGGCGGCGAATTTCCGATTAGAACACGCCCGAATCGCGGCCGAGAAGCAAACCTCATCCGACCGCTCCCCGAGCTCCAACATCTTGAGGAACACCGCAATCGCCTGCGAATTTCGGTTGCCTTTCTCATAGCACGAAATCATGGCGCTCCACGAGGCCGAGTCCCATAATCCGCCCATGGAGGAGAATATCTCCTCCGCTTTCCTCAGGTCGCCGCATTTGGAGTAGAGGCTGATGAGCGAGTTGAGGACGGCCGCGTCGAGCTCGAGACCCGATTCGGTAAGCTTCGAGTGGATGGCCCGGCCCATTTCCAGGTTTCGGGTGTGGATGCAGGATCGGAGGAGGTCGTAGTAACCGGTGAGGTCCGGGCCGGGGCCGGGGCCGGGGCCGGGGCCGGCGATGGACATGAGGTCGAGGGTGGAGAGGGCTTGGCCGAGGCGGCCTGCGTCGGCATGGCGGATCGTCCGGCTCCTGAGAGACTCGAATCCGGCGACGCCGGGATTGTGGGACCAAGCGGAGAGATTTTTGCGGCGGGAGTTAGGGTCGGGTTTGATGGAAGGAGAAGCGGTGGGGAGTGGTAGAGAGAGGCGTATCATTGGCTTTGCTTTCTCTCTCTCTATTCAACCTTACTGGTTTTTATTTTTGAAACTTACGGGTAGTAAAATATTTGTGCATATAACAAAATCAACGTGTATAAATTTAATTTAATATAAATAAAAATGCACGTTGATTCATAACTATTTCATTAAATAAGTATTTGATCAACATTCAACAAGTACAAAACTTTACTCGTAAGACTCTCTCTTGTTAACATATTTTGTACATCATTAACTTAAACTCGAAATGCAAATATGGATCCCTCTCTGCAAACGATGCTCATCCCAAACAAGAGTAGAAAAAACATGAAACTTGTTCGAAATTCCCCACGATTAACTAACACACAAAAATCTGATCTCAAACTATGAAATCTAAACAAAATCCCACAAGCTCTCTTTGAAGAAACTTAACACACAGATATCCGATCTCGAACTATGAAGTCTAAACAAATCCCCAAGCTCTCTTTGAAGAAACTCAGGTGTGTTTGTATATGAACATACACAACTCATAATCAAAATCTAATTCAATTTTAACTCAACTTCACTATCATCAATCTTATTAATACAATTTAATAATACCAATCAATTATTCTCACATCACATCAACTTTAATTTCCTATTCATCAACTCACATAATTTTAACTAACCATAACTTCACACATCTCTTCATACTTTTACATCAAATTAACTTTAATATTTATTCTAAATATTAATTTAATATAAAATCAAAATCCTACTAACAATTAACCATACCACATTTTTTAAAATTAACTATGTTTAACATAAAAAAAAAAAAAATCATTTTGAACGAATTTATTGGTTTAGAAATTGACAAAAACACCCTAGTAAGAACGATGGAATTACTTGCGTTATGAATAGAGCTCGTGAAAGTAAACTATATGCTGAACTATATACATGATATGTATGTAAATTCATAAGAAATTAAGTACTTCCAGTCTTTACAATCTTCTCGTTCAACCTTGGTAAACAAACGGTGACGAAAATACTAGCACATGTATATCTTCAAAAATTGTCATTAATTGGAAAAACAAGCTAAAGCAAAATTAATGATGCTTAAATAGATTAAATAAATATTCCTCCAAGCATAATAACTTCTGATCAAATATATTGAACAGACATAGCTTTTACCAGCACTTGAAAGTTGAAACAACAAGCAATCATACTACAAGCTTCTTTATCAACACAAAATGGCAACAAAAACCAGCACAACCCTCACAAAGCTTCTCAGCATTCATCATTATCACGTAAGACGATCATCCGAGAGCCTTCGAGCTCAAAGCCAGCATCTTTAGCTGCCTGAAAACAAAAACCAGAAGTCATGAACACCAGAATTCAAAAATTTTAACAACAAAGCGATTCAAATAAACAAACAATAGTAATCATTCAAAAATTAAGGTCAGATATCAAAAACTAACTCCAACAAATGGCTAATTCATTCAGAGCAATAGCAACGTGTACCAAATTGAATATACCAAACCACTAAAGTTTATTTATTATAGAAAAAATCGATCTTTCTTGAACCTCGTCGTCATTGTTTACAGAACCGAATGTAAATCGAAACTACAACGACAACAAAATTCAACCTCTCTGTAGAAATCATGAGGAAGCCCAACAAGAATCCCGGCTCCATCTCCGGTATTCGTCTCACGGCGTCATCCAAACCAACATTTCTATTGCATCCGTGACCTAACAATAAAAAACACAAGCATCACAAACAAAAAGAATAATAATAATAAAAAAAATACACACATGAGCAAAAAAAAGCCATCGCCTTGGTTCATTCATGTAAAAAAAAAGAACAATAGCATTTTACGGCTGCTTTCACCGAAAAGTTCCGCCACTCCCCCACACCAGTTTGGATAGGCCATATTCTCTTCCTTGAATCCCTTGCTCTTGTTGTTCTCATACTTCTTTTTTTAACCTTATGATCTTGTTCTGAAGATGGGACTTCTCACCTCTATGTTAAGCTTATTCTTGATCTCTATGTTAAGCTTATTCTTGATTAACTCAAGAAAACATCCATGTGGAGCCTTGTTGAAGACTAAAAGAAGTACAACAACAACAAGAGAAAGGAATTCAAGGACGGTGGATCCCGTCAACTAGTCACACCTGATCTTTGTAGACAACAATTCTGTTTTGAGACCACCAAAAGAAAAGAAAAAAAAGTCAACCCATGATTTTTTTCAATTGAAAAGTTTGGATGGTGTGTTTGTATAAATCAAACATTGATGAAAGAGAACAAATGTAGAAGTCTTTTGTTCCACCATGGTGAGAAAGTTGAGATTTTGCGGGCAGATGAAGGGAATTTACAGGCTGAGGAAGATAGTGAAGAAGGGGTTGCCGGCGGTGCGTGCAAAGACAATGGAGAGGAAGACTGATCGATTGGATAAGGCTAGGGTTGGGTTATATTGTTAATTAATTGGGCTGGGTAATAATTGGGCCAAGATGGTCAGCGGTGAAACAACCCAACACTTAATTGAGAATCTTTCAGTCAAACTTTCTTGAAAACATATACAAAGTTATACTATGAAATGTCATGATCTCAGTTTCTTTGTTATTAAAGTATGTCATGGAAAAAAAATTATAACCTAACTAATGGTTAGCCGGTTAGGCAAGGCATGCCTAACTACATCCGTAACGTACATAGCTCGTGTGTCGTTAACTTTCCAAATTGAGTAAACTGGCAACTTCAAAATAACGTAATTTGATATGATTTCCGATTTTCAGGAACGTCATGACAAACAAAATGATCCAAACTCAAAACACAATAAAAATCGATGGACCTTCCACATACAATTACAAAACCAATACAAACACCAACATGAGAGGAAAACAATCCTTTCACAAAATTTTTCACATTAAACATGTTTGTAATGAAAATTAGTGGAGCAACACAAACTTGAATTGATATTAGTGATGTGGCAAGAATTTAAAACGGATTGTTCCCATAAAAAGAATGGCAAGAAACCACCAAATAACGATAGATTTCAACTTTTATGAAGGAAATCGCCTAGAAAATGGTGAATCGGTTTTGAGTCATCTAGATTTCGGTGTCGAAAAGACGGATAGTCAAATCAGAAACCATACGACGGGCAAAGGGTATGTAACTTAAGCTGTACCTGCAATGGTTTAAAAGGTTGTATGAATGAGTAAGTAAACACTGATTAAAATACTGGAGAGTAGTTTCAAAATACTACATACTTCCCCTTTGTTCCAATTAAGATGTGTTTAGTAAGTATATAAACTATCTTATATCTTATTTGATTAGCTTAGCTTCCTGTACTAAAATAAGTTTGGTTTGGTAGGACGAACTTCTTTAAAAAACTCGAGCTTATCTCATAAGTTTGATTGGGTAGCTTTTTCAAATAAGCCTATTGAAATTTTTATTTCATATAAACTAATTTTTCTGCCATAAGCCATAAGCTATCAACTATAAGCTCGAAATAAGCCACCTTATTAGCTAGGTTTACCAAACATAGCCTTATCCTGGATAAGTCCCATTCTAATTTTCACGCAGATTAAAAAAAGTAGTTAATGTACTTTGTCGAACAACCTATCACATAAAACACCAACAAACTAGATATAAAGGTGGTGATATAAGACTTTCAAACGTGTTATTCCTTTTTCTTCCTTCCTTTCCTTTCTTCGGAATGTTGAACTCATTTTGTTTCCTATAAATTCTAAGTAGAAACAAGAATGAAAAGCAACCGGGTAAACCTAATAGCAAATGTAACTGCAGTAAAAATTGAAGAGTAGATTTAATGTAATATGCACCGGCATACCAAATAAGGGCGCAGATTTCAGATATGATGGCAACAATGGTAAGAATCTTACTATGGATCTGCAACATATAAGAAAGACCTTAGTAAATATATAACTCTCTTTACCCAAAAACAACTTCAACAATAAACAAGAAAATCACGAACCCATCAGCAAAGATCCCGAAACAAAGCCAATATAATGAAAAATATAACAATTTGTGTAATGCAGTAGTAAGTCAAATTTTACATTTCAAGCTTAGAATAACTTTGCCAACAAAAATTAGAAGACGAGGGTAAAAATGCATGAGCATCAGCTATCAAATTGCTCGAGAAGTAAATGTTCAGATTTAACAACCCAAAAGGGAACTTCTTAGCGTAAATACACTCCATATATCCTTTAGAATTCCCATCACATATATCCAGTTAAAATAATAACCAAAAAAAATCTTACCAAAAGAGCACAAACAAGAGCCACAATCACACTTCCGACATAAACTGCTGTGGCATAGACTCGGACTGTATCAAACATCATTCTTAGCTGCTGCCGAGTTCCGATCAGTAAAGCTGTGCTGCCAAGTGGATATCATTACTCAGAAAACCCAGGAGAGAAATACAAGTAAAACCCTAGAGTTCACCCACTTAATGGAAAGACCTCATCTTTAATTTTCTCACACATAGTGGAATTTCTCATGAGAATCCAAATTAATAATAGCCACACAGCAAGTACTAATTTTTCTTCTGGTTTTCAACAAGGTATAAAACTTCACTTCATTCGATTCATAGTTTCATACATTACATAAACATCAAAAACACTCATTCAGCACATCTGGGCAGACATTATTATACCTTCCTACCGCCAGCACGTTTCCAAAGGTAAACAACAAGGCAAATTTGATGGGCTTTGCAAAAACAATCAGCGACTGTGAACAACAACAACAAAAAGCAATCAGAATGAATACCTTTTCCTAAACAACACTTGTAAAATTCAGCCCATTTTCATATAAACGACTGGATTTTTCGATGACAACACATCAAAGGAACAGTCAAAGAAACAAGTTTACTCATACCAGGAGCATAAATAAAAGCCCCGCAAGCAGACACGCAGCAAACCCATAAATCCTCTGCTCGTAAAGAAGCAAAAATGAAGAAAAAAACAAGAACCGAAAAGTAGCAGATAATGTGAAATCGATGGCAATTGTGAATGAGTTGACTTGTTCATTAAATTGACCTGGGCAGGGGAGAGAGAGCATAGGCTTTGGGAGTCTTCGAGCAGGTAGTCTCGCTGCTCATCATCATCATCAGCATCTTGGAAAAATCTCCACATTGTTAATGGGGTTTCTCAGTTTTGTTGGGCCATCAGTTCAACTTTCCCCTTGTTTGTAGGGAAACAAGAAGAGCTTCTTGAGAAATGCGGGGTGCTGTATGTGATAAAAGTATATTTGGAGCCCCTCATCACAATAAAATAAAATTGCCGCAAAGCAAATACCAATAAGGCCCAATAATAGACCTCCTCCGGCCATGCGAATAAAGCCCAAGCACAGAGATTAACTCATATCCGCACCACTTAAAACGATGTCGTAAGCCTTACCCCCTTCATTCCTCTTCGACAATTTCCCAAAAACCTCTGCAGAATTAAAAACCCTCATTTTTAGCCTCTCCAATCGTACACAGAAGGACAAAAAAAACATGGCTTCAACGCTGTTGGAGGTGACACGTGCTTCGCACGAGGAGGTCGAGCGGCTCGAACGGCTAATCGTGAAGGATCTCCAAGCCGAGCCGCAGACTCAGAAGGACCGGCTCCACCAGAGCCACCGCGTCCGCAATACGATCGAGCAAATCACCTCCACCACTCACAAACTCGTACGATTTCCATTTGTTCATGCATATTTTCAGATTATTTACTGTCATGGGTTGTGATTGTTTTGTTGTAATTGATAATGTGCTGTTTTGGCTTTGGTTGTGGCGATGGTTTTTGGCTCGTAGATTGAGATTTACGAAGATAAAGATAACGCCAGGAAGGATGAGATTGCGGCCCTAGGTGGGCAGAGTTCGACATCGGCGAATGTTAATGTTTTTAGTGCATTTTATGATAGGTTGAAAGAGGTGTGTACATTAGGGTTTCCATTGAGATTTTGTTTCTTAAACGTAGTGTTTTCTTATTTCTGATGAATTTAGTATGTTACTTTTTGGATGTGTGCAGATTCGGGAGTACCATAGACGGCATCCGGCTGCCCGTTATGTCGATACGACTGATGAGTACGAACTACTTCTCAAAGAGGAGCCAGTCATTGAATTTACTGGGGAGGTTAGCTGCCTAGCTTTGAAAAACTAAGTACCTAAATTAAAATGCTTGCAGATTTGCTCAGGAGTAGATAACCTCGTTTATTTGAATTGCTCAACAATTATTGAAGAATCTGAACCTCACTATAAACTCTCAAGATTTTTAGAGTGCTATTTTGAACAAAATAAATACCATTTTTCTTATGGTTGCGTTTTTTTA